GCCTGGTGTCAGAGTTATAAAATTAGCAAGAAAAGGACTGCCAAAGTTTGGAGACTTCCAAAGCTATAATGAAAATTTACATTTTTCATACCTTTGATCAAGATTTTTCCGTAAAATCCAAGCACACATGTGTTTGTAAATGGACATAAAATCCCAAAACAAAAAAAAAAGAAAAATTTTGCCCAACCTGCAGAAAAAAAAGGTTTCACTTTCGTTATTTTGACGGGCACCAGATTTCATAACGATGCGACACATTTGTTTGCAAACTTCACCAACAAATACTGCTAAAGAAACATGTGTGCTATCTTCAACTATTCTTTCTGTATACATAATTGTGAAACTTTAACAAAAAGCAAACTTTCGCTTTAGTAAGTTGGAAAGCAAGGCAAAAGCTTTTCCAACTACAAGTAACATTCGGTTCAACAAATTCGTCAAGGGTAGTTAAAGGCTTTGCTTCATAGCGATAAACTGTTCACTTGTTGTTTCTCTTCCTTCCTTACTAGGATACTTTAGAAACACAAGAAAACATACATTCAAAGAGCCGCAACTTCTAAGTTTAGAACTCATACGATCTCTACAAGCAAAAGTTCCTTTTAGACTATCCCAGAGACATCAGGGGCAAACTAAAGCTTGCCCTCACCAGTGTAAGGGTACAGTGAAAGACTAGTCAACCCATAAAGCATTTCAAGCACATGTCTCCTAGCCATAAACAAAGGCTGAACAGTTACTTTTGCACAGTTTTCTCTAAAATTTGAACAATCATAACATGTAAAAATACAGAGACAACACATGACAGTCGACACCTCCATATGATATGCCTGTCACCACAAGCACAGATCAACATGTGTATAAATATACACTTAAATTTTAGTTTCATACGACCCCTTGCAACAACTAGAGAGGCAGACCAACATATAGACAGTGGTCTCTCTCAGGACCATGTAGAGAGCACAAAAAAAAAAAACCTCGATAAATCACCTCAGTCGAGAAGCTCCCCCGCAGGATTTAAACCCAGGTCCGATGTACAACAATCAAGAGTATAACCTATAAAGCCTCTGCAAAAATGCACAGTCAACGCAAACATACATTACTTTTATGCACACTCACTCGGACACAACGTCACTCAAAATAGTAGGCTACTGTAAAAATTTACTTTTGCAAAAAGTTGACCATCTTTAAACTCATCTCAGGCCTGTACTCTTTTCAACAGGGAAAATTATATTACCATGATGTTATTTCATTTCATAAACCTCAGTTGTATTATACATATGTAAATATTTGCATGTAGGTCCCGGCAAAAGTACACAAGCATGTACTACTGATCCATTAAAACAATTTTGGATTTCATTGACTGTAACCTTCACATTCTATGCTCATTTAAAAACTGACCTTACATTTGTTAACGGATTACTCTTACTGAACAACCATAAAATGATATTCTTTGTTGGCAATGTCAAGGCACAAGACAATTCATTCATGTATCTAACATAATATGTATCTAACATAATATACAGCTGTAAGTTACATTGTCAGTGTAAATTCAGCAGTCTTTTAACTTTGTTCTTCTGCGCCAGCTGTGGGTTATAAAATCATGTATCACGATAAGGGAAGCTGCAATAAATACTCCAGATATGTTCACAGAGCTTTTCTAAAATTTAGTTCAAGCAATAATCCGCCTTAAAAAGAATTTTTGCCATACTACTAACCAGTGTGATCAAATGTGGGAGTGGCATACACAAAACATAATTTAACAAAGAAAAGAATCAACCTGAAATGTCCAAGACCCAATTCAAGAAAGTCCTTCTCAAAGAGAATTTCAATGTTGTTCGCTATCAGAGTAGGCAAGTCAAATGTTTTTCACTAGTAAAAAATGTAATCTTGTACAAACTGCATTGGAAGTATACTGTTTATAAAAATAAATGTATCTTTGTGACTGTTAGGTAGTCACCGGCAATGTATATAATTTTTTCCATTTTCATTTCTGGGAGAGCAATGGAAATCATATAATACTAAAAAATAATTAACAAAAATACTACATAGTTATCAGGCTCAACCAATTAAAAATATGATACCTCTGAAACTCAAATAACATGTAAGTTTCAGAATAAATTCTATTTTATCAAACTTAAAGCAAACACGATGGATCTGAGAGTAGTGCTTGTGACACTCATAAATTAGCTGTAAATGATAGTGAAAGAGGGATGCTGACTAAATGAGTAACTTCTCAGTCCACGAAAAGAGATAACAGCCGAAAATCAACACGAGTGTCAAATTTGTAGATTTTCAACTGATGCCATTTTCTTCAAGTTTACCAAGTCTTTTACTATTTCATAATAATAAATTATGTACACTCAGACAGTTGATTTAATGTATCTCTTGCCACAAAGCTAAAGTCTGAGAAGTTATCTCATTTTGTCAACACATCTCACATAATATACTTAAGAACATACGTACATCACGTTTTTCTCACAGGCAACAGCCATCGGGAACTCCAACAGACAGTACAACAATCCCCCAACCTCAAACACTCACTTCCAAACATATCATGCAATCGTGCACAGAGCACTTTTGGGTTGCTTTTGGGTCTTTTTCGAGGCAGCCGCATAAGAATTACTGTAGTCAATGATCTCAGCTTTGACCACTCGCTGGTGCTGGTCAATTTCCGGTTTACTCAGTTTGATCTGCAGGATATCTGCTGCAACCTTTTGAAAACACAGTGATACCTGGAAGGAAGCAAGAAATTCAAATATTATTAGCAACTTATCAAAGGTCAAAGAGCGACAAAAGTCTGCTAAATCCTACGAGCTCAAAAACAGGGTTCTGCGCAGTGGCAACTGACAATGGTGTGATTGTAAAATTGTTTGCCACGGGGTGATGCAGTCAACTACGGATCAGTTGATGTCATAAGGGAAGTGAAAAAAAATAAACTCATCTGAAGTTCAACTGAACTGTCGGGACAACAAAATCAAGGGACATTAGAAAGTCTTTTCCCGTGCTTATTCTAATGCTAGTACTGTTGTAAAAATGGTGGCGACAGGAAAAGTTTTGCGAGCAATATATATTCACTTCATAAATCACTGCGTACTCATGCTCGTGTGTATGTTTGTGTGTGTGCATGTGTGTGTGTGTGGGGGGGGGGGGGGAGAGAGACAGAGAGACAGACAGAGAAACACAGAGAGAGAGAAAGAGAGACAGAGAGAGAGAGAACGAAAGAGAAAGAGAGAGAGGAATGGGGGACAGGGGGAGTGGTTGCAATCGTTCAGTGGCAGTGAGACTAACAATGTGCATGTACTAGCATAATATAGGCCTACCTATAGGCCTACCTCAGCAAAAAAACGGGGTACGGTAAAACTGTCGCTTTTTGCCTTGTCCTTATTTTCACAGTGTTCAAAGTCTGTTCTTAACAAACTTTACATCACTAAAATACCTTGAAGGTTAAAAGCAAAAAGAACATTTTACACAGGGGCATTTTAGACATGATTGCTTTTAAAGAGTAGAAAACAGCAGAGTCAGACCTATTGAAAATATTCTCAGGAAGATATAAAACATCAAAAGAATCTATGTTCACTTGTTCTATTTTCAATTGGGTATAACTTATAAGTTCAATCAAATTTTGAAAGAAGATTGGCATAAAGTACCTCCATTCAACTGTACTCACCTGGACAAAGAAGTCTAAAGACAAAAGACCTTAAACTAAAAGAACGGATTTGTATGCAATACATATTACAAATGTTTATTTATTCAAAAACTGTTTTGTTATACTTTTCTTTGTCCTTTTTCTAATAAACAAATTCAGGAAAATCGCAGAAAAACTAAGCTTTCAAGAAACCTAAACTTATTATTGAAGCAAGCGTTGCTTTCCAAATCTTTGGGTGCTAAGACCTGCCAACCACTCTATAACCAAAAGTAGCTTTCCTCTGAATCCTCCCTAAAAATCGGTTTTTGGGATAAAATATCAGAGTCCAAATTAATTAACCATGGCAAATAAATGTTTATTGCAAATGTATACAAAAAATATGAATGTGTATTTTCACATCATTTATAATAAGTTGTTCAAGTATTGCAATTAAACCTCAATATTTTCATTTCAGTTACAAAAAGCTGTGCATATATTGCAAGCAAACCGGTGTATTTTCACGTCATTTACTATAAGTTCCATACAACCGATGAAAACAGAATTCAAGAGTGTTTGGCAGGTCTGGATACTCTCTACTGTACAACAGAATTCATGGAAGAAAAACACAGAGACTTTGCACCTATTAGCAACTTATGTCATCTGTGCCTAAATTAACTCTTTCATGACCTATATGACTTACGCCGTTCATCACTTTTTTGTAAACAGCAAAGGAGCCCAGATGCTGCTGTGACGTACGGCAATCGTCATGCCTTGCGATGACCGAGGACCATGATGACGAACGCCTCTAGTTATGGATTGCTTTCAGCATACTGCTTCTATTAAAAACTGATCGCAGATTCATACTCGGGAGATATTTTTTTGGTACAAAAAATATTTTACCTTTTAGAGATAGTAGTATTTACAAGCCAAATCTAATTATAGGCAACCAACCACTAAATCTTGCGCTACTCTTTGTCCCTGCAGATCCAAAACTGTGCCCGGCAAAGCACAAACTGACCCTGTGTCACGAATGGGTATTTAAGAAAATAGATAAGAAGTAAGTCTTTCTGAAAGACTGTTACAGATTTACAAGTAGATTCTTACCGACTCTCCAGTCTTTGCCGACACATAATAAGGATTCATATTGTGGTCCTGGGCAAACTTCTGGTGTTTGTCTTGTTTCACTGTCCTCATATGTTCAAGGTCACCTGCCGAAACAAGAGTGTATTCTCAATAAAGCCTAAAGGAACATAACAGCAAACACTTGCAAGACATTAAAATAATACTTTCAAAGTGGCTACTCCTCTTGAGGACTAATCATACTAATAAATCACAAATCAGTAAAAAATTTCATACAGTCAAAGTGCATAATATTCTGAAGTCAAAGCATAAAATAGGGATCTAAACAATAACCTATTCATTAATTCCATGTTACATTTTTTTCTATTGAAAAGATTATTTTAGATAATTTGATGCCTATATGTAAACACTTTCACACATTGTAAACAATACAGGCAAATGAAGACTCATTTACAAATTAATGAGCACATCTCATCCCTACTTCACAAGTACTTTGCTATGATCTGTTTAAAAGCACAGGCCTGTCAAGCATACATTTTTCATGAAATAAGGTTGTCAGCTTTTTTTAAAAAATGATGATAAAGGGGCATTTCTACTACCAATGAAAAAACATTTTATAGCTCCTTAATTTAGTAGCATGGACACTTTGTGCAAGAGCTGAAGAGATTTTATCCAACCTTTAAAAAAATAGTAAACAAAAATTTAAAGCTCACAACAATCTACTGTCGAACCTGCTGTATAGGACAATCACCTATGAAAAAAGACCACTGCCCTTGTCTTCCTTTTTTTTTCCCTTCCTGCCCCAGCCATTTTTGTGCACTCCCTAACCCCAGTCCCAACCAATATACAGCAGTATTTCAGAAAAAGTGATGTAGTAGCTTTGTAATGAGGTTTAGATAATAACACATAACAAAGTTTTAAGGTAAATGGACAAATATTATGAAAATTAAAGTTTAATTAACTATGCTCATTTCGCAAAACGCTCAAATTCGGTACCCCCGAAACTGAGATTATACGCTCTTGGGATGGTGGGAGGTACAAGCGCTGCTGAACATATATGCGCTTGGGGCCGGAAGGGTTAAATCATAATGACACTGTGTGAGACGTCCACCTGTCTAAGATGACCACTTCTACTCGACAATGGGTGGCCATATTAAACAATTTAGACTGAATTATCAATACAGAGACAAGATGAGCAGGAATAAGACTTGAACAAAGAATCTATCTCCCTAAGCAGCCAAAATAAATTCCATTTCTCCCTGTCCTTATCCCTCCTTTATCAATATCAACCTCTCCCAAGTGTTTGGGATCAATGCGTGTCCATTCTGGCCAGGAAAACTTTTGCTGTGATCGAGGAACATAGTTATGGTGTTATGCTCTAATCATGTTACTGATCTCTTGAAAATAATTGCCAAAGAAAGTTAATACCGCAACTAAATCAGTTATAAAGGATCTGCATCTTGGTCCAATGAAAAGGTTTTTATTGGGGACTAGCAGAAATGGTCTGAGATTTTAAAAATGAGTTGACCTATTTCTTCCAGTTTCATGGTAAGAGCAAAACATCATTGATACACAATTTTCACCTACAGGAGATGCTATAATCCCTTTCGTTCCTTAGCTAGTTTACACAACATGCACACCAGTAATCAAACAGTGATGAGGAATTTCACCATTGTGCGCAGAAGAACCGAGTTTGATTCCCCTGTGGGAAGAATTTCGATCAAGTGTCTCAACCTTTCTGCTTGGACCTTGTTTACTTCTCAGCTAATATTGACCCTGGCAGGCAGGATCGCAGCGAGACTCCATAAGGATCTAAAATGTGTTAATGGGGCCAGTGGTCAGTGTTGACACTTAGTTCTAAACAAAAAAACAAAACAAACAAAAAATTACCCACACATTAAAGCAGGGTCAAACAAAGTTACTCATATTTTTTTTTCCAACAGCAACAAATGAGAATTTCTTCACAATGGCAATAAATGCTTTAACCAACTCACTTTTGTTTCCAACAAGGGCCATGTGAGGCATAGGGCCAGAGCCACAAACCTTCTTGACTGCATGGAACCAATCTTCGAGGTTCTCAAAGCTAGAGTAGTTGGTGATGTCATACACCAGGAGAACACCCTGTACAAAAAATGGATAAGGCAGAAAAAAAAATGTTAGTCCGTAGCATTAGAAAAAGGTGTTTCCGAGTGTAAGTTACGAAGATAGTAAAAGAAAGAGCGAAACATCATGTTTTGAAAACTTTCAAAAACAAGGGAAAAAAAACAATTATAAAATCATATGATGTCATGCAGAAAGGTCTTTTGGCATACATTTAAAATCTATGCCAAAACAGTTTTTTCCATAACATACTTTTAGTACACATAAACCCTCAGACACATTTGAAACATGTTTGAATCAAGTGGGGAGAGAAAGGGGATTGGGGAGGGGGTCGCTCGTTACTTGGATGTCCTTCCTTATGACACCCACAAAGGCTTTTGGGGGGGGGGGGGGGGAAACAATTTGTTAGAAAGCATTGGCTCCCAAAGTATAGCAATATCAAAGTGACAAAAATAAAATATCCATATATGTAAAATATTTAAAAACTGCTAGCAGCCTGACAGCGATGAGAAAATAGTTTAAAGGAGATATGAGATTACACCAAGGTTGCACCAAGAAAAAAAAAGATTTTTTTAAAAATACCCCCAAAATACACCCAAAACTCCACAGCAATAATGTTGGCCAACCAAAAGGCACAGAAACAGGAGAGCATCAAAATGAACACCAAGCACTCACATGAGCGCCGAATATATAGTTGTCCAACATTGTTCCTCCTAAAGTTTGTCCACCTATGTCCCAAACCTGTAAGGCCACATTTGTATTTCCTGAAAATAAAGAAAAAACAACTGTGGTACACAACAGTAGCATATATATATATATATATATCATACTATAATGAAGGAACAGCACAACTAATCAATATCTTCGATAAAAAAAAATATACATATTTAAGTATAAATGTAGAAGTTGAAAATCTTACTGTAACAAATCATTCAACTAGAAACAAAGAGATCACGCAAGATCACATTATTGTCAAACATGGTGATTACAGTGCTTTCAGTAAATTGCATGAAAACATAATTTTAACATAGCCTTGAAGCTTAAGTGTTGTCGTTAAAAAATGTACAGCATTTAGCAATAGTTGATAAGGCCCTTGAGTACACAATAATCTGTCTCCCATTATTCTTGTGTAACTTGGACTTGACCCTTCAAAACAGAACAACCTTTGTATGCCTGTAAAGACGGGAACTTGTAAAAGTTTTACTTAGCAAAGTGAACTATTTTCTCAATGACTAATGAATGAAAGGTATAACAAATGCTACCACCACTGTCTGTACAGACTGAACAAATCCAGATCTGTGGTTCTTTTTCTTGGGCTATTTTCTTTTATTCATATCCTTAACTCCTGGATTTGAGTGTTTAACATTTGTTTGTTATAAATACTGTAAATAAAACTTACGTCAAAGTACTGGGAGCAAATTCAGGTAATTAGAACCACCTCTCCATTTTGATTACTAATTAGTTAAGGCTCTTGAATATACACATTAAAATCTATCTCTATTTACAGGAAAACTTAAAGTAGCTCACATTTGAAAAGCAATATAAAAATGTGTGGACTAGTGAAAAAAAAAATGTGAGAAATTACAACGATAATATCAGAAGAATAAATTTTAAAAGTCACATACAGTCAAACCCTCCTTGTAGATGGTTGGCCAGTGCTTTGGTGTGGTTTGCTCCTTCTTTCCTATCACATATCAATCATCCTTATCTCTAATTAATACTTCTTTTTTGAGTATGTTACTCTCCTGTAACACCTCTAATCTTCGGCCTTTATGACCTTATCGAGTTGCAAGAGCCGCAAAGTTACGGCTAAAACTAAAAGCCCTGCCTTAGCAATCTCCTCTCCATGGCAGTCACCTGTACAAATGACTAATGTTTCATGATAATCCTATGTTTTTCCTATTATAATTATAACCTGTCTGTTCAATGCTGCCACTGTCAGTTATTCTTGTGACAAGTAGGACTCTAAACCTGCTCACGGCCGTCCCTCCCTACAAAAGTTTTCCACCACCTCGTCCTCAGACCGAGTGTATGTGTTCAATCAGTGCAAAAAAGCAGCTGGACTTATCACCTGGCTAGGCACCGCCAACTAAACAAGAGGGGGTGGGATTTAATGCAGCATTTAGCGAAGGATATTCGAGTGTCTATTGAACTAAGCCCACTGCTGCTGCCCATACATTACGCAAAAGCCAGTAATAAACACACTGTTGCTGAACTCAGTAAACGTCATTCAGCCATATATGACAGGCAGTGTGGCATCTGTTATATGGTGACAATCAGTTGCCAGGGTCAGGATTTGGGATTTTTTTGTTGTTTATTCGTTTGTTTCTTCTTTTTTATTCTTATTTTATTGTGTGAATGACTGCTATACTGAGAGTATTTGAGTAAATTGGCAGCATTTCCTTTTTTTAAAGGGCCTCATGATACGTAATAATTTCGATAAAAATGAAAAGGAAAAATATCATTCAGACCCTGCACAAAACAGGCAATTGTCTATGACAGTCCCCTTCACTGGTGATCTAGAGTGGCTGTTACTAACAGGTTCGACAGTATACTGGTAAAAAAAAAATTTCCCTCTCTCTTTTAATGGGAAAAGTGATTAGACCACTAGAAAACACTACTTCAGTGGAATCGAAATCATCTATTTGAGGAATCAAAGACAAATCAAAGACAGTATATTAAAGTATTCAGAAAGATTAACCATAGCAATATCAACAGAATATTTAGTCAGAACTTTGAAAAGTAGAAAAACTCACCTTGAAGATTTATCCTTTTGAGGAAAAAGTCGAGACCAACTGTTTGACCATACTGCTTGGAGAACTGTTCTTGTGAATATCTCATACACAATGAAGTCTGTCACAATAGAAAAAGAAAAGTATACAATTAGAAACTAATGAAAAACTAAACAAAAAGTTGCTTTAAAAAGTCAAAAACAAACAGAAATTAAATTTTGCATTACATCATATATGGCCAACTAGTCTAAGAGAGTAACTCTTCCATTGGGACCTTGAAATCACTAGTATCTTTTACAAATTATGATTCTCACTTCAACAGCCATACAATCCATTGCCACTGATCACAGACGAGGTGCAGCTGACTTCCAAAACATGAGGTGCATTGGTGTTATCTTCACAAAAGTATTCAGCAATTTCCCTATTGGAAGATTTAGAGGAAACAGAAAACTGGAAATCCCTGAACTGCTTCCTTTACATGATACACCTGATCACACGTCCTTTCAAGCTCTCATGCTTGCCAGTTGGCAATTGGAATTCCTCAGATATGAAGACACCTTGAATTCACAAGTATTATAGAGAAAGAGAAAGAAGAGGAATAAATGAAGCTTGTGGTGCTATAAAGATTAGTCCATACTTTTCCTCATTACATTACTACAGGCCTTTCACATTTCTGGCATGAAGTTACAATTTATAACATTGTCTTTTATATCTTTGTTCATGTTACCACTTTTGTTTACTTCATGTACAACATATTTCAGGTTCTATTATATCCCATTTTTTTGTGTGTGTTTTGTGGTAGTGTGGTAGGTGAACTAGAATACATGAATAGAATTCTAGGTAGTTGTCACAGAGGGGTAGGTGTAACATTTAAAAGAATCACTGTTGTTCTTTGACTTGGTAACTTTGAATTGTCAAACGGTGATACCCCTATTTTCAAGAAGTCAGGGGTGCCATTTATCACCCCTAAAAACTAGTAGCACTTTACACACCCAACAGGTAATGTGCGATGATGTGTCTCAATACTAGTAGCAAGGGTTTTGTATTACACTGAGCGAGGGGAAAGCCTGATGGGCTCATGTAACAAAGATGATGTTTGTGTTGCTTGGCATCCTTCCCGCAGGGCGATTTGAATTCAAGACAAATGTGAGGAAAAATTTGATCTGCTTTTTCGAGATGAGCTATTCGACATATCCATACAGATGTTTGAGATTGCTGAACAAAGAAAATACAGCAGTTCAGTCAGGGAATGGCAAATTGTAAGCTGTCCATGATTTTAAGCTTTCAATGTTAATGTTATCTGTTCTTGTTCGTATCTCAAAACATAAATATAGTTCGTACGTTTGCAACTGCGAAATTTGCACTTTTGGGGGGAAAAAAATGTTAAACCTTTGAAAAAATAAACGAAGTGGCTCGCCGCACTGCCAGTCTAGCCGTACTTAGATCTAGGTTTGGCCCCATTGACCGAAACACCTGTTGAGTACACAGGTCTCATTGGATCTAGTAATTATTCAAGTTTAAAATACATGCATGTCAGTAAAGCACCTTTCGGTTTCATCTAAAATACAAATACTTTAGGTATTGCAAATTAAAATTTTAATTACAATTCAGCTATTATTATCAAATATGGCTAGCCTGCCCGTCTAGCCGTACTTAACTCACCCACTACCACATCCGCAACTGTTGCGGGTAAAGTAGTTCCAACGTCGCGATACAACACCCGCAACCCTTGTGGTTTCGCACTTTGGAATTTTTCTCTCACATTAAAACCCCACCGTTTGCGGTACTGGTTCGTCTTTTTCATAGCCCATTCAATTTTCTCTCATTAGAAAAAAACTAAACCAAAATCGGACGAGCGCAAGTTGAGTCATTGACCTTTACGGCTACCGCAATTAGAAGATCGCAACGTCTTTGACACTTTTCAAACCTTTGACGACAAAAGTGACTCAGAAACCGATGAATTTGTCGGAGATTGTTATGATGAATTGGTTCGGGAAATTATTGATCATTCTTACGAACCACCAAAGGCAAAGAGGAGTAAAGTTTAGAAGGGCCTCCAAAACCTAGATCTAGGGTTGCAGTAGTGGGGAAGAATGCGAGTAATAATAATAATAATATTAAATGACATATAGCGCTCAGCCCCGATTAAAGTACACAGGCTCTGAGCACTTTACAATACAATACAATGTACAACAGTAACATAAAACGTTGTGTTCTGACTAAAAGAAAATTACTCCAAATATTCATCTTATTAATTTAAAAACAGAAACGACTTCCGCTGACATTTGAATGAATCAAAAGATTTGATCTCTCTTAAAGTACTTGGTAAAGCATTCCAGATCTTGGGGCCTTAAAATGGCTGGTACACAGGGAATAGCGACCCCGAAAATTGCTGGTAGTGAGTGAGTCAAGTACAGCTAGCCTAGTCTTCTAGCCGTACTTAAGTAGAGTTAGCCTGCCAGTCTAGTTGTACTTATTTTAGGCCCTATTAGACACCTGTTGAGTACACTCACAGGTCTCAGTAGTAATTATTCAGGTGAAAAATACATGCACTGTCAGTAAGGCACCTTTTGGTTTCGTCTCGAATACAAATACTTTAGGTATTGAGTATTTCAAACAAAAAATTTATTTACAATTCAGTAGACCTATTTTGCTGTTTGTAGTTGGCATGCTACGTTCACAGCTCCCTGAATGTAGTTTGCAGGCGCTGTTGAGGCTACGTTCACGGCACTCAAGCTTTGTTTGGACGGAGCATCCACTGTCGGATTTAGTAAGCCGGTTTTAGTCCGTGACGACAGTGACGTATTTAATATTATGGCCTGCTTCAAACGTTCCATCCAAGAGATAAATAAAACGAAGCAGTGATGCTTGACCGATCGACCATTCGCTGTTTTTCCTTACACTGAGCTCTGGCTCAGAGCTCGCCAGGGTAAGGGAAAACGACGAACTCTCAATTACGAAACAAGACATTAAATTAGGATATATATGACAAAAATGTAGGCCTATCAAGATGTTTCAATTGCCCTATCTCGCGTCCAGGCGAGACTTGCGCGCGACCTTGTTTTAGCGCGTGACGGCCCATGATAATAATATATATATATACGAGTGTAAGCAAAAATGTTCCAGCGCTCTAGAGTGGAAAGCGTGCTTGTCTGCGGGCTGTGTGGGTGTGAGTGTGTGTGTTTGTGTGTGTGTGTGTGTGTGTGTGTGAGTGAGAGAGAAAGAGAAAGAGAGAGCAAGAGAAGACGTGGGGGGGGGGGGGGGGGAGAGAAGGGGGGAGGGGAGAAAGGGAGGGAGAGACAGACAGAGACAGAGAAAAATAGAGAGAAAAGGGGAGGGAGAGAAAGAGAGAAGGAAAGAGAAAGGGGAGAGACACAGACAGACAGACACAAAGAGAGAGAGAGAGGGTGTTTGTTATTATAATAAGAATAATTGATTCCTGTCATTTTCTCTCTGCCTCAGTTCCCACGCTGATCCAGTGCAATACAGTCATTATCAGGGCTGGTTGTAACGGAGTACAAGTACTCTGGTACTTGTACTTACGTTACAATTTTCGGTACTTTTACTGTACTCCGGTACATTTTGAGAACCAGTACTTTTACTGTACTCCAATACTTTTCATAAAAGTACTTTTGAGTATTTTAAAAGTACATTTTGAGTACTTTTGAAGCTTAACTCACTTCAGATGGGTCACACAACAGTTGCGTGACCCCCGCCGCGACGCTCGCGACGCGTCTCAAAAGCCCTGCGTGACCAACTTTGGAATTTTTGTTTCGCTCTACAAATCACGCACGGATCGCGAGACCCGCCTCGTACCCTTGTTTGGCCAAGCCTGAGCTACTTAGACTTTGTTTCGTATCTCTGGGGCCGGTAGTTTTTAAGTTATTGAAGGTGAAGGACAGTGACCCAACTGGGGTTGAACAGATCGGAACTCGCGCTTTGTTTTTTTCTATACAGCTGATAGTAATCCGACAGTCGCGTCGTAGTAACGGTCGAAGAAGTCGCATGAACAAGAATCACATAATTTCGCCGTTTTCTATACTTCTGTGCGTTTTACTAGTTCTAGTGTCTCAGAATATGATGAGTCTAATAGTTAGGATCCTGGATATGTACCCAAACACGGCCCGAGTCGTAGTTCTAGGGCTAGATCTAGCACTAGTACCGGTGTTGTTTTTCGCGCAACGAAATCACAACGTTGTGTCGTACATCTGTCTCATGTAATTCAGTGTATGGGTCTGAATCAATGCACAGACCAGCTTTTATATTTTCACCAAACACTCGCACATGTATACAAATCAAACCAGAACACTTTGAACTTTTATTTTTGTTGTTGCAGTGAATTTCATTCTACTTGTCACGTCTCTGGAAATTTTTCGGAAAATCAAATTCATGCCAATTTTTTTAAAATCATACAAATTAAAGTATTAGACTTAGACAACTTTAGTTTTTTGTATTAAATTAAGCTTGAATGTTACTTTACTGCGTCAAAAAATGATTACAATAGGGTAATTTGGAGAGTTGTGGTGATTTATTGAAATACCCCCCAAAACGCCAGTCTTCAACGCTTGTGACTGGTGAAAGGGCCCAGTCGCAAGTGAGTTAATGAAACAGTAAGTGCCGGCATTTCTTAACATAATTTACGGAACAAACACCCGGGCGGGTACAGCCAATCAACCAAGAGTTAAAAGTTGAGATCAAAGAACTGCCCGTCGCGTCAAAGATCAGCTACTCTCTTGAATGTGATCACAAGCGTTGTAAAATTCCATGAAACGGTACAATGATCCCCAGACGGGATCACACCAAGGTGTGAACTGACCGATGAGTGTATTCTTTTTCCCAAACATCGCACTCGCATCTGAGCTCGCCACCTGAGCTTCCATCACTTGCTGGATGGGTAGGGCCTACAAGTTCACTCCAGGCAGGATCACATCGAACTGTGAACTCTTCCCTGACCATTGAAGTTAAAGGCAGTTTTTCTCTATTCTCGAATTTGCGAGACAGCCTGAAATTTAATTGGTGTGGTCACAGCACAATGGTACGTAACGGCAAAGGCGGGGGGGACTCAATCAGAGATGGAAGGCTACAATTTTTGGACAGGTAAAGGGGAGGGGCAACTGGATAAACGTAGATAAAGATCTCGAGACGATATGCTAATGAGTGTACGGTATAATATTATGGCATGCCTCATGCCACCATGCTACTGTGATTGGTCATCAAGGTTGACCACTATTTGCTCGCCATATGTCATAAACCCACCCAGGGGTCACGTCAGTTCATGGGTCACTGAAGATTCTTCCTTGGCTTCGTCGGCTAAGATCTCGTATTTCCCTTGCTCCCGAGCACTGGGATCTTAGGCGGAGACTGCTGTAGTAGAGAATTTTTGGTTACACAACACTTACTAGACTCTAGGAAATTACACGTAGGCCTATTTTGGTTTGCCATGGGCGCCGTGGACCACACAGTGTGACCAAAATCTGTCTTACCACTATTATAATCAATTGAAACTGAAACTGAGTTCTCAATGTATATCAATCTAACAATTTTTTAGGCTACCTTAATTTCTTTTTAACTTTTTTTTGTGGTTTGTGCTTAAGGCTACCTTGATTCCTTGAGGATTTGTTAATGAAGAATTCAATGCACGTTTACATTTTTTATGCTGGCCATTTTCATTTTTATCTATTTTATATTTTCTTAAGAGCAACTTTGTCTCTACATTTTTCAGTTTGGATACTTTTCCTACTTTCTGACCTCTAGGACTGACTTACATTTGATCATATTGTCTTGCTCAAACAATATCACTTACTCACTAGTTGCGTCTGTTTGTTTGCAAGGGGTTTTTTTGTTTCACGGACCATTTCCACCTACGTTCAGTGCGTATATTCAAATACTTTGTATACTCTCACTGGCAAAATTGATGGCAAGCGAGGCAGTGGTAGGCCCACAACAACATACTTAGGGAACCTAAACAAATGGGTAACAGGGAAAGATCAGGGAAACATGGCTTTTTTGAGAGCATTCGGATGCAAAGGAATGAATGGAAAACCATGATTGCCGATGTCTGTCGCAGATCTGGCACTGGATGATGATGACTGTTTACATTATTAGTACTAAATGGCCTAATTTGTCAAAGATACCGGATATAAATTCGATATGATGTTTTTCATTAGTACTGAATCGATATGATGTTTTGCATTAGCACTGAAGTGTTTTAGCATATTAGCAGAAAGTACTCAAAATGCACACAAGTTGCAGGGTTGTACATGATGGCCAGCTCACGGACAGCTTTGACATCAAGACTGGAGTGAGACAGGGATGCTTACTACTATCACCGTTCCTCTTCATATTGGCAATTGACTGGCTGATGAAGGAAACCACCAGAGGACACAGAAATGGTATACAGTGGACACCATGGACACAGTTGGACGATCTGGATTTTGCAGACGACTTGGCGCTTCTGTCGCACACCCAGAAACAGATGCAAGCAAAGACTTCAGAACAGAACAGTATTAAACAGCCTATCGGAGTCTGTTGGATTGAGGATCCACCCCGGAAAGTCAAAGGTCCTAAGGACAGATGTGCAACAAAAGGAGCAGGTCACAATAGAAGGAAAGGCCCTAGAAAACGTTGAATCCTTCTGTTATCTTGGGAGCATATTGACAGAGAGGGAGGAACAGGGTCTGAAATAAAGTCCCGCATTGGAAAAGCACAGGCTGCTTTCATATCTTTGGATAGGATTTGGAAGACCAGAGAGATCTCACTTCGAACAAAGCTGAGGATTTTCAATTCAAACGTGAAGTCGGTCCTGTTGTATGGATGTGAGGCATGGAACGCATCGCAGACTTGTATAAAGAGGATCCAGGTTTTCTTGAACAGGTGTCTAAGAAAGTTACTGAGGATCAGATGGACAGACAGGGTCACCAATGTGGAAGTGTTAAGGAAAACAAGACAGATCTCAGTCAGAGATGAGGTAGGAAGAAGGCGGTGGCGATGGATTGGACATACTCTCAGGAAGTCAGGCAGCTGCATAACAAAGAAAGTTTTGGATTGGAACCCACAGGGCAAGAGATCAAGGGGAAGACCTCGTGGAACTTGGAGAAGAATCACAGAAATCGATGTACAGAAAAGTGGGAAGACATGGAATAACATCAAGAGGCTAGCCCAGGATAGAGAAAAGTGGAGGGTGTTTGTCCGTGGCCTATATCCTGATCCAGGGTGAGAAAGGCAATGATGATGATCATGATAAAACTCAAAATGTACTCAAGTACTTTTTTAAAAAGTACTTGTACTCAAGTACATTTTACAGGAAAGTACTTTTACTGCACTTAAGTACATGATATTTTAGATTGTACTTAAATTTGTACTTTAAGTACCCTTTTAAAAGTACTTTAATAGCTCTGGTCATTATATTATTGTAAGTACACATTTTTTTACCAGTCCCATCTTCTGTTTCCCATCTCTCACCATGATTCCCATGTACCGTATCTAATTTTCCATATCCCATATCCCGACTTTAATTCTGTAAGGGCGCTTCGTTTTCCTTCATCTCATGTCTCATGGGATGGAACGCTTGAAGCTGGCCAAAATTTAATATCAATTTATACAGTTTAATACACATCACTGTCATCACTGACTAAAACCGACCGACTTAACCGGCAAAGGACGCTCCCCCTAAATGAAGCTTTTAAATTAGTGTCGTGAACGTAGGTTCAACAGCGCCTGCAAACTGCATTCAGGGCGCCGTGAATGTAGTCTCGTGAACGTAGCCTGCAGACTACGTTCACGACGCATGTAGCCACTGCCAAAAATATTTTTAAAAGAGCAATACCGGGCCCTGAACAGGCTGGCTATATACTAAGAGGTAACTGAATATTCGGCAATACCTTCCCTGAAGCACCATCTCCCATCACAACAAGCTTCAACTGTCTATCGGGGCTTTCATCTTCGGAGTCAGACATGCCTGGCCTAGGTTCGTTCAGCTAGATTGCTTCCAGATCTAGACTCTAGCCTTGGAAAGACAAAGGAGAAATGGACTGTGTTTGGAGTATATATTGATGTATGGACACCGAAAATATATTTTGGTAAAACTAAAATCATTCACAAAACAATTTTCAGATGCAGTGGCAGTCCTGGGACCTTTAGAGGTTTCAAAGAACTCCAAAGATTTTCTCAATCAGGCCCAGCAAGACGCCATCTTGCGTTGTTTGTATCTAGACAACCATAACTCTATTTGCCAGGTTTCAGCGCGTGGTATTGTGGTTTTTTTAGACCGAGTTGGTCTATGAGTGTTTTCTTTTGAAATGGGGCGGGGGCTTGGGATGAAATAATCTTCTTTGTCATTTGTTCAGCTAGAATCATTTTTTCTGGTTCTTTACAGGTACATGGCTTATCTGAGGGAAAAGGCTGTTGCGGCAGTGTTGCCCCACATTTTATGTCCACTCGCTTCTCATGCGTCAATGCGAAATGAATACTCAAGAGGAACAGTGATAGTTGTTGCAAAATCAGTTCTCCATATTATAGTTCTAGATTTATTTAATTTTTTAGACTTATGTTATTTAGGGGGCCATTTCCCATTTTAAAGTGTACTTTGCCGAGACGTGGAAGCAATGTGACAATGACTGACAAGTGTAGAATTCTGTGCTGACAACCACAAATTCTGATACATTATGAGATCACAAAAATATGCCAAATTGAACTGTTATTTCCTATGTTTATCATTCAAGTTGTAACAATTTTTGTTCGGGTACAGGAAAAAATGTATTATCTGGGTTGGGGGTTCTTTTCTTGTACATTTGACGAGAAGAAAAGAAATTATTAGATCTATACCCAAAGGACTTGTTCTTTTTCTTTCTTGTGATAGTATCGGAACTGACAAGTATTTAACAATCTAATAATAGCCACAGTCTTTACCATGTTATCAGAAGTGGGTCACTCGCTTTCGTGTCAGAAAGCCCATTTAAATTGCTAACAATCAATAACTGGGACTGTGTGCTGAAAAAGTGCTGAGCCGCATGAATAGTTCCTAATAAGTTCGTTTTTCGTTGTTGGTTTTTCTTTGGTTCCAAAAGACATTTGATTCTACGTTTCAAATGTTTGATACACGTGTACTTCATAAAGTATAGGGCAATGCTGGTGTACCTTTCATCAGAAAACCCTTTCTATACGTGTATCTCAAGAGAATAGTTACTAATTTTAGCTCAACCATTGTGACGTTTCTCTACAGTAGCCAATCATATTACAGAAAATATTATAACCGCCCAATGAATGAAGAACACGGCGACGAACGAAACTTCTAAGGAGCTAAAAGCTTTCCTTGATTGCCTTGGATGATATAAAAGGACACCGGGACATCTCAGTTGCATACCTTCACAAATCTACACAACAGACTGCATAGAGATAACCAAGACTGCCAAGTCAAGAGCTTCAAAGATATCTTATTGTATCCCAAGTATCATTCGACCCAGCTTTCAAAGGAGGTAAGCCTCAGAACCCTAGATCTCTACCTTATATATTGTTTTGTTATTTTGTTTCCTTTTGGGTGTGTGTGAGATATTTTAAGTTTTGTTGTTGTTGTTGTTATTGTTTTTTGTTGTTGGTTTTTTGTTTTTGGTTTTGTTGTGTTTGTGTTGTTTTGTTTGTTGGTATTTTGG